AATTGATCAAACTAGATCTGTTCTGAGATCAGAACCKCCCTTCCAATCTCAATTATTTTGGGAACCCAACTCGTAGATTTCAACAGATTAACCACCCCCTTCTGTCACTGACCTTGCTGCAAACAGCGGGTTCTACAAATGCCTCCCCTTTTTTTTTCTGCAAAAAATGATACAGATCTTAAAGATAAAGTACAGCAAAAAAAAAATTAAGCAAGCCTGAAGGAGTCACAGAACTGAAGGTAATGATTTTCAGTCAGAACACTGAATTTTCTGTTAAGTATCAGATATCATAGCAAGAGGGCTGTATGGTATCATCAGTCTACAAGTTAGCTGTGCTCTTTAACCATCAAGAAAACACACTGAGCATACAATGGCTGAAGTCTAAAAATAAAATTCATACATGTGCATGTGAAAAAAGCATTTGGCTTCTTGTAGGAGAGAAGACTCAATTTCTTAACTCTGTCATTAAGAATAATTAGACAAGTTTTACAGAAGTTAACATAGTAACCTATTAGGTGTTTGCAGGCAACTAGAAAATAGTTCCATAGYAATTTGATAATGATGGCAATAAGCATTAATTTTGTGGTATGTTCTTTAAAAAGCCATTTAGATGCATTCTGAATGGAATTACATTCCCTTCCCCCAGTGAACTGCAGCCTRAGGACAGGTTACCCACATGTTCTACTCCCCCCTCAACAATATACATAAAAAAGAAATGTAAACCTGAAGTCACTAATCTGAGATGTAACTGTTCCCACAGTTACAGTTCAGTAACYGTACTTCTGTTCTCACAATTACCACTTCTAGAAAGTGAAGCATCCATAACAAAGGCAAAGGAATCTCAAGAGTGGGAGCAAGAAGTACTATTTTATGCTTCTGAGCGTGAAATTCAGAAGAAATAATATAGTGAGGAAAACAAACAATTCATCTCATTGGGGTCCTCAACACCACCATTACCCTGCAGCTTTTCTGGCAGGAAAGGAGTGGGGGGAAAGTGCTGAGTAGCACCTATGTGCAACAGTAACTCCAGAAAGCTGAAGRGCAGCCAAGGTTTGCGGAAGCTCTCCAGACCTCAACAACTTAAAGGACAAAGAAACAGAGAAAGGGTGCTTGGGCACTGCCAGAGAAGAGATTTACTTAGGGTATTTCTGTGGTGGAACTTGGAGGGGGGAGCAACATTACCCAGAAGACTGAGCATGGGGCAAGAACATGGGAACTGTCACATGCTGTGCACTTGGAGGGACACATGCAGTGACTGCTGCAGCATATATCAGCCTASGGAARAGAGTACAATTGYCTGGAATTACACTCATACTAACGTGAAGACAGCTGGTCATGCTTTCMATTATTAGTTTACATTTAGCTCATGTCAGATTACCTAAAAGTTACCAGAGCTGAGAACTTCTAATGTGCAACCATTGCAGGGTGTCWGCTAYTCAAAGACCTCTCCATTCTTTTCTSAACTTCAGAACTCTCGTTAGCTGAAAAATTCAGCTTATTACAGGTTTAATTTGAATCAGTTCAGTTACAGCTCAGTTTTCTACTAATGCTAAAARGCAGTTTAAAGAAAATCCACACCTGTTATATCAATAACAATTTTTATTATGGAAATGACAAATAAAAGATTATTAGAGATCATTATATTGGTACTTCAGACAGACCCTCCTTTCTAATATAAAAACTGAAACAGGACGTGAAGCACACACTTAGCTAACATGAGGAAAAGTACTTAACTAAAAGCTTAATTTCCTGTATCAATTTGAAATTTCTGAGGCTGGAAATTTTCTAAAATACTCAAGCACTTTTCAGATGATCAAGTATGACAATGTACTTCCTTACACATAGCGTCACACACACTATACTACMATTTAAGAATTTAAAAATTCAGTTTTTATTGCCATAGTGCAAGGAACTTGTACTACAGTCAATGTGTCACAATTATTTGATGTTTACCAGCACTACCAGACCAACTCCAACTAGAGCTAGTTATATGACACTTTAATAYACTTAAATGCATTATCTGACAGAATTGGTGCTGGAACACTGCGCTGGTGTCTGTTCTTTGTACAGCAGCACTCTGAGGCTGCAGCAAACAAGAGGACAAGTTCAACTGTGTAGAGTTGTAGAGGTATTCCATGGTAGGCTGAAGAGAAAAAAGATTCATGAAGTGGCAAGGATGCAGATACTRTCTTTTCCTTTTGCAAGGTCAGTGTAAAGGAGAAAAATAAACATTCAGATTGGACTACATAACTATTAAAAGTTCATTTGGCCCAATAGGGATGAAGCAAGAAAAAAGTTCATCACTGATTGCTTCTATTCTCTCTGTAAATTAAGAGATGGAAACAAAGCTCAGGCAGTTTAATACACTCGGCATCTACAGGATTAGAGAACCTATTTCTTCCAGCACACTAGAGATCTGATTCCAACAAATGAGGGAAGAGAGTGGGAAGCTGCAGAAGACCCAGCTTTGGCCACACTCAGAGGTCACAAACACATTCTCTAAATTGCTTTCCTCCCTTCAACACTGAAGTTAGGACAGCAGTCATACTCAACCGTGACGTAACACCCCTGGGTATTAAACATTACTTAAGAGACTAGCAGACAACTGAAGACACAACAACAGCTCAAACAGAGCCACAGCCTCAATAAAAGGATACCAAAGTTGCCCAGCTGCTTTTGTACTCTAATTGATAAAGCTCCTGACTAAAAACTTTGAAAGCTTAACACTTCAATTCTTACTAATTAATGACTTATACCAATTAAGATTTGGTAAGCCTTGCTTTTCACTTTTGTAAACAGTTGTAGGCTAGATTATGCTCTATAAAAATTACAGAGATCTTCTGAAAAAAACCCCAAAACAAAACCCACACCATCATTCTACATTTGCATGTATCATTGTGCAGACCCCTGTTCATAATAAACGACTAATGTTAGCACAGCTCTTTCTTCTGTTAAAGCAAAGTGGATGTCAGATAAAGCAATACAGTCAGCCATGTTTCTAGGTAAGTAAGAATATACATGAATAGGATACTTCAAGAAAGAAAACAAAAGTATGTTTTCAAATATAAATCTAATTCTTCAATGTAATTGGCAACATCAAACATAGCACATGTCATTTGAAAGTATTTTTAAATCCTATCCTCTGAATACAAAAGTTTTAATTTTTTTGTTTTTAAATGTAAGTCTAAAAAAAAGGTTTTATTACTGCTAATCACTACCTAAGGCATTGTTTMTTCTCGACAGTAATTTTTCCTTTAYGTATTACGAAAAATTGGATAGGCAATGTTAAAAATTAGTCAGTCATTAGCTTCTTAAAAATAGTAACATGTCAAAGAACAATAACTTCTTTGAATAATGTATGTCTCATTAACACAAAGAGAAATTCAAGTCCATTTTGTGATTCAGAAGATTTAACAAGACTTTCCACCCATATTCCTCTCCTCCCATGCACTCTAGTTTTTGCAGCAAAGTCAAAAGCAGGGTTTTGTTTTAGTTTTTGTATTTAGCRTGCACAATAAAAGCTAGTTTCACCTTAACCTGGTTTCCATTATCAAACAAAACATTAATTGCAAACTCTAAATTCTTCTAAGGTTTCCAAGCCCAGATTTGATCAAAATGATTTCTTAAACCAAAGCATAGCTTACAAAAGAATTTCAGACCACTCTAAACTGAAAGTATCCACACCCCCTCAGGACTTTCCCATTAATAAAATAATAAGAAAGAAGTAACAACCAATTAGAATGCCAGAATGGATCCTCATTTCCTTGGCTTGAATAGATGAGCCACCACTTTACAATACAAGTGGTAGTAAATCAGCTCTTTCCTATGAGTAAATTCTGCATTTCCATTTTCACAGTGGAAGTTAAAGAGTTATCCTTACACAGGATAATAAAACATACAAAATTGGGTGTTACAATACCATGGCAGCCAGCCTGAAGTGGAAGCCAAGACACAGTTATCCATGCTGACTCTTACAAACCCCTAGAGAAGCAGTCTTCTGGAAGCTATCCTCACCCATATCATTCAGTTGTCTCACACATCAAGARAAATTTATGTTACTCATTGATCTTGGTTTTCATTAGATCTTCAGGCAAAATCGTAGCTATTTAATACTTCCCTCATATCCCATGTCACTCTGCAGGTGATGTATTATCACATATGGGATGACACACCAGCAGGGTCCACAGCGTAGTGGACAACTCTTGCTGACTGTAACCTCTACCTCACAAGTGGTTGCAGGATTGAACAACTGCTCCTTGTGTGCTCACTGAAGCACAACAGGCGTGTGCAGTTGAAAAAACCTGACAATCTAGAATAAGCATTTGGAAGAGGTTTGGATTCTATTARCCAACCTCCTGATGAAAATACCGGGTTGCTTGCTCAGTACATGCCCATTATAATGTAACTACAAATCTCAGAAAATGCCTAACTTGAACACCCTTTTAGTTCCCTACTGAAAATTTTAAGTTTAAGAGGGTATCACAGAATTTCTACTGCCTCTTCCTGCAGGCAATTTTCTGCACGGCTGAGTCATAACTAACATTACATCATCTTACCCAGGGAGGGGCCCAATTTCCGTAGAGTGAGAACTACCTCTTACAACTACTGCAGCATATTAAAGTGGCAGGAATCGAAGAGATCTAGGACTCAAACACTGCATATTAAGGGGGAAGGACATCAAGGGAGGAGAAAGCCCCAAACTAAACCTGTATCCAGTTCCATCTCAGAGAAATATGTAGACCTTAGGTAACTATTACGTTACATACAATAATGTTTCTACATGTCTCCAAATTTGTTAGCATTTGTAACCGTAATTWGTATATAAATAATCAGCACATTAGAGGGAAAGAAAAATTCAGACATTTTTTAAACCTTGAGCTTTAGATATAGCATAGGACACCACAGCTTCAGTGACAGACTAGAAATAGMCCCAGAGGACCCAGCACCATTTACTCTAAAACTCTAAGTAAAAATGGATCAACAGTTTCATTATTTCTCACCAGCACATCATTGCAGATGTCTCTTAGCTCAGTCTCAATTTTCTCTCTGTATTCCCGAGCCATCTGCTGTTTTTTCTCAGCGCCTTCCGTCTTTTGTTCAATACTTGAGACGACTCTCCAAGATGACCTACGGGCTCCTACAACATTTTTATAGGCAACAGAGAGAAGATTCCTCTCTTCGTTGGACAACTCAGCTCCTTGCTCAGTCACAGATTTCATGCAACTTGCCATGTCATCATATCTTTCAGCCTGCTCAGCCAGTTTGGCCTTCTGCACCAGCTCATTTTTATCCATGCTGATATTTCTAAAGAGGAAAAATAGTGAGGCATTATTCAGACACTGATCAAGGACAAAGATGTTTTAACTTCATATGCAGAACAATGTGTATACTCTAAGTAGTTTGGAACTGTAAGATGTACAACTGAAATCCAGAACACAAGGCATACTAGCAGCACTCAATGCTCAAACACGTGGACACATGGACTGAAGAGTTAAAGCCACTGCTTCCTCCTGAAAAAATGTTAACTTTTAAAAGTATGTATTTTAGTAAACATGAACAAAAACATCCAAAGTTGAACTGAAACAAAAAAATTTCTACCTTCTGCACAAAAATGATCCTAACTCTTTGCCATCACAAGACTACATTATCAGTACAACAAAACTGACAAAATATCCAACAGTAAGCTTTTCACAGGAGACAACCAAATAAAGGCTGGACAAACAATACCAAGCAGCATTCTAGGCTTCAACAGAATCATACAGTTACATGCAGAAGTATTTCACATAAAGATCTGCAAATCAAATCCCACACTGGATGTTAAAATGTCAGAATACAACAAATATCTAAACTGCATGTTGTACACCCTTCCACRGTGCTAACTCCCCTTCCCAAAATGGGAATCCCCATTATGGGATGTTTTGTGTCAGGTACTGCTGCTCTGCCCGAAAGGCTGTGTTTTCAGAGACAAAAGAAAATTTTACTACTTAAAAATATTTTTTCAACATCAGTATTTCAGACAGCACGACTTGGCCAAGATGCTTCATAATCTGGGTCTTATCAGCACTTAAGGAAAAAAAAAAAAAACCAAGCTCTGCTGAGCAGACGTATTGAGAAATTTGTTTTAGTACAGGAGGGAAAAATACTCGTCCCTTACCCCCCACCCTTTTGTGTACCGTAACTTGATCATTTTGAGGAAGTGGTAATGTGCTTTGGGGATACACTATTCTTTAAAGTTTGACAAGATTATTAAAGGATGATCCAGTTTTSGTCATGAATGCTTTATATATTTCTGTACGTTCCACACATCCGAACCAAGCACCTCAGTTTTTAACCACTAMGATTTTTGCCATTTCACATGACGTTAGAGGAGGAACAATGGCAAGGGCTACGTTCTGTCTTTGGGAATAAATTAAACACCTTTTAACATTTCAGGTTACTCTAAGTTTTAATAGCTCCTGTCTCCAACAGGGGAGCACAAACCCGGCGTTTGTTTGCAAACGCGCGTTGAAGAACTTGCCCGCACCGCGCACGCCGGGGTTAAGGAGCCATTTTAAAGCAAGCTTTTGGCGATGGTTATTTACCACTCGGCGCGACCGGGGCAAGCGTGGTCAGAACGCCGGCCCCGCTGCCAGTTCCCGGAGCACCGCAGGCTGCCGTGGCATCATCCCCGGGCGGCAGCATCCTCGGGCGGGCCGCCCGCCGCCCCCGCGGGATGGGCGCTGCCGCGGCTCCGGCACGGCGAGCGCGGTGACAGCAGAAAATGGAGCGGCCCGGGGGCGGGCGGAGCGGAGGGCGGGGCGGGCGGGCGGCCCCGGGGCGCTGCGGCCGCTCCTCCCTCCCTCCCTCCCCGCGCCGCGCCCGCCGCGGGGACAACCGAGCGCCGCGCCCGCCGCCTTTGTCACGGCGGGTGGGCGCCGGAGCCCGGCCCGCCCCGATCCCGCTCCCCTACGCCCAGCGCCCCCSGGGGAGGATGCCGCGTCCCCGCCCCGGACGAGGGAAAGCCCGGGGGCCCATCCCCGGGAGACTCGGCGCGGGGGAGGGGTAGCTGCGGAGGAGGAGCCCCCTCCAGTCCCGGGGGAGCC